TCACTAGGAAGACTTAGTGTTATGTTCCATAGTGCTAGGGAGACTTAGTTTTATGTTCCATAGTATGAGGAAGACTTATTGTTATGTTCCATAGTACTAGTGAGACTTAGTGTTATGTTCCATAGTACCAGTGAGACTTAGTGTTATGTCCCATAGTGCTAGGGAGACTTAGTGTTATGTTCCATATCACTAGGAAGACTTAGTGTTATGTTCCATAGTGCTAGGGAGACTTAGTGTTATGTTCCATAGTGCTAGGGAGACTTGCATGTAGAGTTAATGATCAAGGGTTTCTAGGAGCTAGATACATTTATTGTGTCATATTTTGCAACTTAAGTCATTTCAATTATGTGATTTGTTACAGGCCAGTAATGCATAAGAATGTCCTGTATAACTGCAGAGTTATCTTTCTAAATAAGTAAGTAACTAATACACAATTACAGCTAGCAATGCTTCAGATGGTTCATATGAATTTTTTGCTGTCATATTAGATGATTAGATGCGTATTATAAAGTTATTTTTAAAATGCCATAAATTATATTTTAGAGTTTCCTAAAGCAGATGCCAACAAGAATGTGCTGATCTATAATCTGATTGTATGTCTCAGCATCCTAGTTATGGCTTTTTAAACTCTCTTATTTCTGAAGTAAATTGATGACAAATGTTGTAGACAAAATAAATTGTATTAAACTGTTCTCCATGAGATCTGAAAAAATATTTTGATTAAACAATAAAAACCTTGAGATAACATATCAAAATTCACAACGGAATTGTCAGTCACTTTATGTAATTGAGGATGCCACCATCACGAGTGTCAGTATATTATTTGTTAGATGAGCTTTAAATGGTAGCGCCCTCTTTGTTAAATAGTGGGTTTTTTTTTTTAGGTATAAGTCACATGACATGTACAAGTAGCAATTGATGCAGTGATTGTATACAAGTCAAATTGTGAAATAGAATGAAAATATAACTTTTTTTTCCAGAAAAATTTTATTAATCCGTCCAAAGATAGACCTCTGCAATTCTGGCAACTACAGGGAACTACGATGGTTCAAAGGATGGGCAAAAAAACGTGTGGTTGAAGATTATTATCTGCCTAGAATGATTACAAAAATTACTGGACAGGTAAAAATACTTAGTGGTGTTTAACACTTTTAATATTATTTCATCACCATTGTTTGGTTTTCTAGAAGGCACATGTTGCGAATTTATGTTTTTTTTGAAGAGTGTCTAGACTGATTACCCATTGATGTTTATCGTCCATATTTTTTTTGTAAATATTCATGAATGTAGATTCAAATTAAAACAAGAGGTTCTGATTTGCTGTTGTACCACTCTTTAGACACAGAATTGATTGCTGTTTGGTTGACGCTCAGATTACTTACAATTGCTGTTGTTGGTCAAATAAATTCCAACCATCATTTTATGTGGAAAATTATAGTCAAATATATTGCATACAAATTAATTTACGATTATCTCTTAATTGGGTCAATAGTACAAAAATGTATTAATTTAATTCTCATTGGTACATGAATTACGAAAGTATATACATTAATATGGAAACAGAAACAAATTTTCAACTTGTTGCTGAAAAAATTCTACAAATATTTTTCCCAAAAATGTTTTTGTATAGGAACTCATCTTTTTCTCCAGCCAAAACTTCTATGTATCAAAGAGATTAAGTGGAAACTATTAGCCCGTATAAATAATATTAATGTTAACAGTGTAACTAGATTACTCCTACATGTACAACATATATGAATTTGGTTGCTCAGCATTACTTCAAAGTCAAGTTTGTGTCGTTTCCTTGACTTTAGCTGTTTTCATCGGCTTTTTGATGGGTGTTCCACAGCAGCTTGCACAGAGCCAATTTAATACATGGTACAGTGGTGCACATCTTAGAAACGCAGTACGTTTTGTGACGTAGCCCCATCCTGTGAATATAAACGTATTCTTCTTATCTACAAATAAGAATTGTATTTGATGGCATATGATAGCGAGAATCATATGGCATTGTAATAATACCAACATAAATCACATTTTTGCTCTCACATGTTGGACTTTTTTTTCTTTTTCATTAAAAACAAATATAAGAGAACTGTATCATTTGGTGATGGTGTCATATCAACATTGGATACTTGCATTGGTAGTGAAATATGTGAGGAACTATGGACATCAGACAGGTAAGGTAATGTAGGCACTGGCTGACTAATGCAGTGATCCAACAAATTATTCAGTTGTCCCACGATCTAATCCTTTATCTTACAATTGTCCTCAATGTTGACGCAAAAACCATTTTTCTTCTTGCTGCTTTCTTTTATATTATAAAAGTATTACATTTATAAGTTACTTGTTTTCAAGACACTAAAGAAACTTTGCTCATAGGTTTTATGATTTCTTCTTAGTCCACATGTTCATATGAGTTTAGATGGTGTGGAAATATTTACCAATGCAAGCGGGAGTCATCATGAGTTACGCAAAGCTTATCAGAAGGTTGACCTAATTAAATCAGCCATGGAGAAGGTAATTTTATGGGATGGTTGTCATGAGTAGATTGAAGTCATAAATACAAACAATCACGCCCTCTAGTGACAGGATTAAAATACATATATGGGAGAATAACTGCTAAATATTAAGTTATTGCATTTATACATATTAAATTTATTGGGTTAAAAAGTGTTTTACTCTATTTGTAAATGACAGGTGTGTTTATGGTCAATATACCAGTAACACATCTATCAGTAGAGCTTACAAAAATTACAGACTGTTTCCAAGTAATATTTTAATAATTCAGTATACAAAAAGTGTTATTTTTGGTTTGTGTTTCTAATCAAATATGGTAAGTCATATTTAAATGATTTAATGTGCAATAAAATAATAGTTTTGATATTAGTAGCACATGCACTTTCATAAATGACAGTGGTGTCTTAGTTCAGAATAAGTCAGAATAAGTATCTTCATTCTGTAATAATGTAATTATTGGTTCATGTGTACTTCCATTGGCTCAGTTATAGTAATGGCCATTCACTGTGACATTATTATCTTCAGGTGTCAGTCAGAACACTGACAAATGTCAACATAATCAAAGAAAGTTATTTTTGGATTAATATTGCCTTAATCTACATAACAAATCAAAGCATTTTTTCTAGAAGTCATAAATTATTTGGTATGTGTGTTTACTTACAAGAAACTTGATAAATTCTTGAAATTGTTTTTTGTTGTTTAAATATTATTTTTATATTATTATTGTTTTAAATGTTTTATGTGCCAGGCGACAGTTCTAACAATTGAATGTCACTATTGTTTCTCCATGACTTTTAGTAACCGGTATGTGCAAATTGCAAGTGCCAGTGCTGACACATAATGCATTTTGTTTAAATTATTATTATTATAAGTCCCAGTGCATCTGTTCATCAGTGTGTCTGTGCGTTTGTGCGTGCATCCGGAAATGCCTGGACCAATCACAATCAAACTTCACACATACATTGTACATAATATTATGAATATGCACATCAATTTGTTTCACGATCTGATTCAAGATGGCCGAATGGTGGCCATTTTTGTGCTAAAAAATCATCAAAATCAAGCATTTATGGATGGGTTTTGTTTAAACTTGGTACATACACTGGACATTACGGGACCTTGATGCACATGATTTTATTTTTCAGATCTAATTTAAAATAGACGACTGGCGGCCATTTTGTTATGATGAATGCAGTTCTAGTGCCATATCTCTGCCATGCTTTGACTGATTATGTTCAAATTTATTTAATATACATGTATTTATGTTTGCAGTGTGGTGGTATCTATATGTTCTCCAATCTACGTGGCTGTGATGGAGAGAGAGTCTACTATGATGGGGGCTCTATGATTTGTCTTAATGGCAAGATAGCTGTTCAGGGAGAACAGTTTTCATTGAATAATGTGGTATGTATTTCCTGCCGTTTTTACAAAATTCCTACCTAACTCAGCCTTAAAATAATGTGACATTATTTTATATGCCTGTCTGTCTGTCCGTCTGTCTGTCCGTCCGTCTTTCCCCCCGCAAATTGAATTCAAAACAAAGTGGAACTACTTGTATCATTCTACAACACAAAATAGTAAATTTGAATATGAAACAAGAGAAATTTAATTAAGTATTACCCTCGGTAACACTTTTTAAAAAAAAAATTATATGCTAATTTGTGCATCATTCGTTTCCATTTCTAGGAAGTTTACACGGCAGTTTTAGATTTGGAGGATATTCGAACATTCCGTGGCGAGTTTTCAAGCCGCTCTATGCAGGTAATAACTTAACCAGCATTGTGAAATCCATTATCAACTTCAACAAATATTTGAGCTTAACATGTAAATATTTTCCATTCAACAATGCTACTGTTATAAATATTAGCACATTGACATTATGTTCACCGATGATGTATGCAAAATGTTCAAGTATTTCGGCTAAATAATATAGTATATGAAAGAGTAGTTAATAAATACTAAAAATTATTGTATTTATGATGCATGTATAAGTATAGGAAGAATAATGAAAATTAATTGTACGGTTTCAAGTAGCATGTGATCACATCAATTGATAAAATCATTAAATGTATACTTTGCAGTATTGTCATTACCCTGGTATAATCTTATATTATTAAACATCTGTCACCGTAATGCCATAGGTTACAGTGTGCAATAATTTTGCCATATTTTACAGGGTATTTTCATCCTACCATATAAGGAAATGTGAATTCCAAATATGGAATGATTTACACGCGTAAGCATCCTCTAATAATAAAAACAAAGAAGTTCGCTAATTATGTTCTAAACTTTTCGGATTTTGGCATTTCCATGATTTATCCATGGAAGGAAAACATGTATAATAATAAGATTATCACAAGGATACCTCAAAGTATGCACTTGGACAGTATGCCATTGCATCGACCTCGGTTGTGCGTCGGTCGATACTTCCACTGTACTGTCTTTATGCATATTCTCGTAATAACCTCATATTACAATGTAATACATTTCTTCAACCCAACTTTTAAGAGTACAAGATGCAATGAATGGAGTGGTTATCACAATATGTAGAAGTCCAACAAACAAAATCTCTCATTAATAACATATTATTTTATTAAATTGTGACATTCAAATCTGCATTTATTATTCGTTCATTCCCAGGCAACTACTGCACAAGCATATCCCAGAATTCAAGTTGACTTTTCCCTGTCACTTGATGATGATATTGCAATCCCCTGCTTTCAACCAATCGAATGGCAATACCACACAGTACCTGAAGAGATTGCACTTGGTCCAGCATGCTGGCTTTGGGACTACCTAAGACGCAGTGGACAGGTTTGATTTCATTTCAATGTAATTGAGACTCACTTAAATAACTATTGCCTTACATAATATCCAATAAAATTTCCTTGGATGGCACTTAAAATATAAGAACCCAGTAATTTCCTTTTAATTCCATTTGATCATCATTTTTTATCTTTAGGGTGGATTTTTTCTTCCATTAAGTGGTGGTATTGATAGTTCGTCTACAGCATGTCTTGTGTCATCAATGTGTCATTTGGTGTGTGATGCCATCTCTAATGGAAGTAAGTGTTATCAATGTGTTATTTCATCAGAGTGTGAAATTAAATTTTCACCAGGTTCCCACAATTATTCAAAATTTTGAGAATGTTACATTATTTTTCCTCATTATATCTAAAAGTTTTATCTTTGTACCATAAATCAAGTCATTGCACACTTTTCGTTTCCATAGATACAGATGTGTTATCTGACGTACGCAGAATAGTCAGTGATAAAACATATACACCAAGAGATCCCAAAGACTTGGCTTGCAAACTGTTTACAACATGTTACATGGGAACAGTGAATTCATCTGAAGAAACAAAGGAAAATGCCAAGAGATTGGCTGCTGATATTGGCAGGTGAGTTCATCATGGAAGGTCAAAACTGTTGACTCAAATTCTACTTCATTCTTGCATGCTTGTGTTTGTGAAAATGTCTGTTTAGTTTAGTCGGTACATGTGGATTGCAGGGGAACTTCAACCAAGTACAGTGGTATGCTAATTTGCAATATGCTAATATGCAGTATGCTAATTTGCAGTATGCTAATATGCAGTATGCTAATTTGCCTGTCATGGAACTCACTGAATAGTGATAAATGTGTGTGGAAAAATGTTTTTCTTTTTATTAAGATTTATGTACAACTATGTCTATTATTATGTTCCCAGTCAAACAATGCCTGATTTTAACCTTCTCATTACTGTTATGTGCAAATTAGGTAAACATTGTTGATTAGGTGAACAACATTGTTGATTAGGTAAACATTGTTGATTACATTTTGTATCCACATTTGTTAATTTATTCAAAAATTATGTAGTTTACTTCACAATAACAAATGCCATATTTTTTGTTACCATAGTTACCATTTGAGCATCAATATTGATCCTGCTGTGTCTGCATCCGTTGGAATATTCACCACGGCAACAGGTAAAACTCCAAAGTTCAAAGTGCATGGAGGCAGTGTTCGTGAAAACCTTGCTTTGCAGAATATACAGGTACAGTTTTATTTATTATTAGTTTGATGCAGATTCAAGATGTTGAGTTTGTCTTCTATTCAACTCCTGTGTTAGACCATAAGAAATGGGTTCATTTTTTCAGTTGAAATTGCCCCCCCCCCCCTTTTTTTTTTTTTTTTAAATGTTTTTGTGCCAGGCGACAGTTCCGGACATTGAATGTCACTGTTGTCTCCCCTGACTTTTTTTTTTTGTAAGTTCAAATTGCAAGTGCTAGTGCTGACACATAGTGCATTTTGCCACAGAAGTCATTTTCTGTTTGGGCCTACATGACAGGGCTGTGTGGCCATCTCCATATCAAATGTCAATTTTAATATGCTATCCTGGCGTCAACCAGTCGAACACAAGCACCTGCAGACCTTAACCAAGGATTCCCCAAAGTCGCATTCGTTAGTGAATGAATCTCGGCCAGTGGAATTGGCCTTCCCATTGAGTCTGTGGCACACTCATCCAGGGTATGTCGACCCTTTGATGTTCAGCCTAAGGTTGGATTTGAACTCTGGTCTACCGATCATGAGTCTGATGTGACAACCACTATGCTACATTTTTTTGCACCAGTGACCGGTTTGAAATTGCCCTTTGCATGTTCATGTGTTTTATATCTCATATGGGGTTATCAATATTACATACTAAGAAATAATAGTGGAATTTTAACAATAAAAACTGATCAAAAGTGCTTGATAATGATAGAAAATTTATTATAGGCTCGTACAAGAATGGTTCTATCTTACCAGTTTGCCCAGTTATCACTATGGTCACGTGGATTAAGTGGAGGACTACTAGTACTAGGATCTGCTAATGTTGATGAAAGGTACATGTATCTCTTATTTTGGTATTGTTTTTACAAGACGGGTGAAATAATTGAAATTAAGCAGAGTTGAGAATATATAATGTTTAATATTAATCATTAATATTAATCACATGCTAAAGGCGTTAACAAGGGATGGGTTAAGTGCAAAACTCTTGGCAAGTCCACATTTGGGATTTCAAATGTTGTTGCCTAGATACATGTATTAAGATTAAGAATACTCACACTAGAACTGACGTTACTAGGATAGTTCAAATATGGACAATGTGTGCAGATAAGTATTATTAATTCCATCTGTGTTGCTTTGCAGTGATTTTCCAGGATTTGTTGTGATTTTTATTACCTGAACAAAGTCTATAGACTTCTATCAACATATTTCTTTGATTTCTTCTAGAAGTTTTAAAATAATCAAAGAAGTTTGATAGAAAGTTTATAGCATTTTCATTTGTTTTATAAAATTTCTTTTCAAAATTCTATAAAACTCTTATAGACATTCTATATAACTCAAATTCTACAAAATAGTCAAGTCTATTCAGAATCTATACTTAACTTCAATTATTCATACAAATTATACAACAAGCATGAAATGCGGTATGCGGTGGTTGCAGCACCCAGGAGCCACACGCGTTTATTACAACGTTTATTTATCCCCCTTACATATGTAAATATACACGAAATTGATGCCAAAGCCCCATCGCGAATACATCAACCGCCCAGGAAAAAACAGATATAAAAACCCGTAATGGGAGAAAAACATCTGGAAACCTGTACCCGATGCAATGTCAGATGTACCTAGGGGTGGACGTCGGGAGTCGTCCATATTAAGAATACAATACATATATAAAAATTAAAAATACATCATGAGTTGTTTGCAACCGAGACTGAATACAATAGAATACACTTCTTACTATATACTCATGAGCACCTGGCTACTTAGCCACTAACCAATAGGAGCAGGTGCAATGGCACCTGAATAATTTACATACGAATAGATAGCAATTATCTGCTAATCTACGAAACGCAGATAATTTATCATTCTATAAGATTTCTACAGAAGTCTATACAAGTCTGGAGAAAGAAGTTTATAGAACTTTTTTGTTATGTACTATCCTTAATCACGACTTGTGTAGATCTTTGGTATTGCATGGTTTGGCTTTTTAAATGTTATTGCTTTGAAATTGGGTGGAGTTCTCACTCGATACATTATATGATTTTTTACTTTATTATTAGCTTGAGAGGTTATCTCACTAAATATGATTGTTCCAGCGCTGATATCAATCCTATTGGTGGGATTAGTAAAACTGATCTCAAGAAATTCATCTTGTATGCAAAAGAAAAATACAACCTGCCTTCACTTGACAAGTAAGTAAAAAAAATTTCTGAGTTAAGGTGCTCTTTTTTAAACAACTGGGTACTTTTGATTAGTCCTACTGTTGTACCTGACCATCACAGTGTAGTGTATGCTTACTTGAACCTCATAATGCACACCTTAACAACTGAGATATGCTGGTTAGCACAACCAATAAACCTCATATCAAACCCGCAATTCAACTGTAATATTATCTGAATGACAGCCCTATAGACCAATGTAAAATTGTAAGAAGCAGAGATATTTTCACCTTCGCCAGCCAAGGTAAAATATGTGACCTCTCGGTAGAATCCTGCACAGGTTTGTGTAGTTGTATGTTTACATCAAGCTTTCAAAACAGTGTGATTCAAACCATGGGCTATTTTACTAATAGAACCAATGAGTCACATACCAAACAAAATTAGAAAAAAGTTATTCGTCTATTTTTCAAAATAAAATAGTAAATACCCCGGTGCATGTAAAATCATCACAATGTTGAAAGTACTAAAATTGAAGTCAATCACCCTACACTGTTACTGGCAATATTAGAAAAGTTGACCATTTCAAAACTGAGTTGGATTTCTCTAAAATTCTATTCCTAAACCTAAGGTTTGCTTATTCTGGTATTATGTTAAAGGGAAGCAGTCGTTGCGCTGCACATGTGCAAAATTTGTGTTGACGAACAATGCGCTCTTCTAATGGAGATCACAAGTATTAGGTTTGACCTGGGCGCGACTTGCACTAATTACTGCCAATGACTCTTTCGATACCTTTCAATCATCTAAAAAGTACCTAATTGAAGCTTGGTATTTTGTACTTGTTTATCTACGCAACAGTCAAAGTCACCATCTTTGTTTATATGAGATCCATATATCTCAAGCATGCGTGGCGCGATGACTACCATCTTTTAAATAATTCAGTTTGCAATACAGGCATGCCATCCCTTGCAAAATGTTTTTTTTTTTTTCAAACTAGAGAGGATTACATTCAGGGGTTTCTTAATGTGAGTTCTAATTATGGTGTCACATTTACAATGTGTTCAGCTTATATCCCCACATGCCATAGCAATTAATCTGTATGTATTGTATTGTATTGTATTCTATGTATTGTTTTATTTATTTGTTTGTTTTTTCAGACGCAGTATTTGTTGTGTAGTGCCAGATATTGAAAATTGCTTACTTTATTCTGTAACAACTGATTAATTTTGTATAATTATTAATTATTCATTTTTTTAACTGTAGAATCATCCAAGCACCACCAACTGCAGAACTAGAACCCTTAACTGCAGGGAAAATAGCACAGACAGATGAGGTAATGGGCTCCCTATCATTCTTTAAAGTACTATTATCTACTTTGTAGTTACTCTTAAGCTAATGGACACTGTGGTATAATAGTTATATATATATTTAAGAAGTATATTGTCTGATTATTTTATTTTTTAGCAATGGGTGACCAATGCAGATGTCTTTGTCAAAAAATATGTCTGTACTTTTTTCATTTTGGTCAATACATTTGGCACAATTACTCATAAAAGAACCCTCATGCTTTGCATTGTTGAGAGATTTGTCATGACTGGAATGTACAATAGTACACATTTCATTGCTGCAATCTACGAGTACCAGGACATCATAAATTTACTGAATATACATGTACATGTAGCATTGATATTCTTTTCTCTACTTTCATATAGATTTCCTCACATTAGAATCTCCAAAAATTAATATAAAATTCCAGAATCTCCAAATGTTTGTAATATTTATTGCAGGCAGACATGGGTATGACTTATGATCAACTATCAGTCTTTGGAAGACTTCGTAAAATGTCCAAATGCGGTCCTTACTCAATGTTTTGCAAGTTGATACATCAATGGAGGGACGTATACTCTCCAAGGCAGGTAAGTCAAATATTATAAATTGAAATCTTACTTCAGGTAATAATAACTGCTTATCATATTCAGTTAAAAAAGGTATTGACCATTTTTACAATATAGTTGTCAGGTAATACTATTATTTCCTTATTATTACCTTTTATACTGGTCTATTGTAACAATACTTTTATTATAGCTTATGTGCGATTGGTCAGAACTTGGTCACATGGTAGTGAATAAAAATCATTATTGTCAATACTACTTTGATCTTGATTTTGGCTTGCTTGTAATGAAGTGAAGGGAAAGTCAAAGGTGTGGCAAAATGTTGTCCGGTGTCGTAAACTTTATTGTCTTTTCTGTGTATGCGTAGCTGTAGTATTTACAGACTCAGATGTTCAATTTATGTTGTGCTTATTTATTCTGTATAATACTTACCAGAGTGTATGTCATTAATTTCTTCTTCAGATCATTAAAACTGATTTGCAGCAATTTGTGAATAAGGTCATTTGGAGAAGTCTGTATTACCAAATTAATGCTTAAAATTGTTTGTACAAATAAAAATTCAGGAGATACTATCAACCCATATACATTTCTATGTTTTCTAAAATAAGCATTATGCAGTTATATAAATCATGATGCACTTCAATAATGTTATGTACCATTTCTTTCCCAGTTTTGACAGTCTTTGCAAATCATATTCCATTTTTCAATTAAAGCAAATAATTCCAAAGTAGCAGGTAGAATGTGGTTGGTAGTTTGACAACAGATATCAAATTTAGAGTGTTCATATTCAAATTAGTAGTTATATGATGATAGTGTTATATATATGTCTATGCTTTATTTCTCACAAATCCCTCATGATGAAAAACAAACAAACATTGTACTCTGTGTTTCAGAAGAAAATTTTTTTTTTTTTTATTATTTGAACAGCAAGGCACATTTTCCTTGCATGTAGATTTTCTCTGAATCAAGAAAATTCACCACATGTATTTCAAGAGACAATCACTTGATGCAGGAATATTTTTGACAACTCAAGGATGCACAGTTTATGAAGTTTGTGGGTGATTTGTAAATAAGTAAAGTAAAGAATAAGTAAAGAACTGTAAGGGTTACTAATTCTGAGAATATTTCTCAATTTCAGGGAAAGTGCTTTGTTTACTGTGGGATGTTTGCGAATATATGCATGCTGCATTTTTCATTGTGTTTGCATCAATTGTGTTTGACACCTGGTAGTACAATGTTTGAAAGGCAGTGGTCATCATGCCACCTCCTGTTCATTACGGGACTCGTACCAAATACATTGTTTGTTTACATTAAATTCGAACACGTGCATCACAACGACCACCGCCCTTTAAAGCGAGGGAGTCGTCACGTACTCATGCGTCAGATGGCCATAGCGTGTCATTGTTTACAAACAAGCATCTACCCATGAGCCTTTGCATTTTTAGCATGTGTTGTTATCTTCACTTGGGACTCAATTCTCGCATGTGCGCAGGTGACGACCATCCCGCTTTAAGTGTGTAAAATTAGAAAGCTGGTAAACAATCAAGCCCAAGTGAATATAAACAACTTGTGTCTCAAGACTTGCAACATACATACAAAAGTCAGACTATTTCGTCCCCTGTTGTATCATTCCCAAAGTAAGTTAGTCATCTAAAAATGTTTTCATTTATTTGTAACTTATTCCTGCATATCATGTTACTGTTTTGCAGGTGGCAGAAAAAGTGAAGCATTTTTTCCGTACATACTCCATCAACCGACATAAGATGACAACACTGACCCCATCATATCATGCTGAATCCTACAGTCCTGATGATAATAGATTTGATCTACGTCAGTTTCTGTACAATGCAAAATGGCCCTGGCAATTCCGTAGTATTGATGAGCAGGTATGACAGTATGAACAGCAGGAAATAGAATATCTTTATTATGACGTTATTTGAATGCATTGTATTTTTACTTTCATTCCCAGCATCTCAGTGCTCAGCAGTTTGTTTTCCATTTGGTAGCACTTGAAATTAAGGAGCTATTAACATAATAATCAACCTGCAACCTGAAATCTTGCATACCATATCTGGTGCAACAAACTCTTGATTTCTTGTATGGTGTAAGTCTAGACTTTGTTTGTCAAGGCTTATGTTCGTTGTGAATTGTGTGCAGCGTCTTGTACGCAAGACTAGTTTGAAATTAACTGCTGCATGTAAGATGCAGAACCTATTCTGTTGCACAATGAATACATTCAGAATGCCTTGTTACATTTTGAGTTTGTTTCTCTGATTAGATACTTCTGTTATTTTTTAAGGGCTTAATATTAAAAAACTACAAAAATACTAATGATATGATGTGATATATTAAAAACCATTCCCCAGCTTTGTATAATATCATAATGTAATTTATACAGAAGAAATGTGACTGACGCTTATTTATTCATATATATATATATATATACACATATACATACATCATGCTTTTGTGATATATTGCTTCAATAATTCACTACATTATTGTTTCCTCTATCTTACCAACTTGTACACATAATTCATGAATTTTAGATCAAGTATGTTTTGCTTTTGTTAACAGGTGAAAACACTTGAGGAGAAAGATAAAGGAAACAGTCTCCATGGTAACACTGGGTCGTCTAAAAGGAAAGATGCAGATTATAGCGGAATGTTTGGTGGTCCTAAAAAAGAGCAGAAAGCAAGAAGAGCTTTCTTCACTGACAAAGCGCCGGATGAGACAGATGCTGGAGTATTGGTTGCTATGGAAACTGAAACCTCTTCGAGAAATTTCTCAATTTGCACTGATGCGTCCATTGTCAGTGTTAAGTATGAAGATGCAGGATGTGTTGTCATGACACCAACATCTGTCAGAGACGAGATTGAGATTTTAAAACATGACCGGCAAGGTTCTACCAGATCTGAACCAGGATTCAAAGGAAGAAAGCGATGTGCCAGTGTCATTGGTGAGGATTCAGGAATGACTGAGACCCTAAAAGCTCTTGCCTCAGTCAAGAAACGTAGAAGTTCAATATCTGGGCTCAAGCGATCTTTGAGTACTAGCGCTACCAGCAGTAGGGTCTCTGGATCGGGTGGTGCATGGTGGAAGCCCTGGACATGGAAAACTCCGACCAAAGGTAGCAAGGGACACATTACCCCAACCTATGTCTGATAGTTTAATATAATTGCCATGAATTGAGCTACTTAATACCCAAATAACATTAAAATAATTCCAAAAATGTATATTTATTGTATATAAATTTCAGTAAATTTATCATAGTTAGTCTCTGGTGCCTTTTTAAAAATCATTTGGGTACAGTGTATTGGTTGGAGGGGTTCTTGTGTGTTTCACACTCTAGGCAATTTCGCAGACAGTGTTTTTAAATGCCTATTATGTACCAAGCAAAATGCTCACCATCCAGTATTCGTTTTTGAACTATTGCCACCAAAGACCACCCCAAAAGTTCTGGATAAACAACTCAAACAGCTGTAAAATAGATAAAAGTAAGTAAATTGTTGAGTAATATATTTAAGCATACTATACAATCTACTCATTCATTGACAAAAAAAATGCATTTTGCTACATGATAGGTGTTCAAAAAACATTGTCAGCAAAATAGATGATTTCCCGTTCATTGCTCGATCTCAAAAAATGAACCTTCTTGCTTTTGAGCTCCAATTTCTTTTTTATATCTCTGTCAAATTGCCGATTTTTACCCTGACTTCATCAAAGTTGGCCATCATCAAATGTGTATAGCACATTATTAAGTGCGGAAATGCTACTAAAATACTCGCACTGAACAGAAAATGGTCTATTCCTTAGATTTCTATGCACATGAACCCAATTTTTGTGACGTTTTGTATTATATTGACCACATAATTGAAGGAAATGTAAATATGATTACTGTAATGAATAGAGCGAATTGATACAAATAATTTGAGTGGTTACTTAATGTTCTCTGATGTTTGTTCAGAAGATACTATTTTATTTTGATGGCAGTGAATGGAATTTGTTTACATTAAAAGTTAAGGTACTAAGCAGTGCTTTGTCATACATATTATGTGACTCCCGACCTAATCCCTCGAGATAAGTATTATAGGTAACAATTTCAATTACCAAAGCTATGATTCAACCCAGGCATTGCCAACTTTCTCAAAAATTGAAGAACAACATTGCTTACAAAATAATATGTGCGTAGTTACAGAAATAATCACGTTGATATGACAATGGATAAGCTTTCTGAAAGTGGTAAATTTGCTTATTCATACATGTATGTGTTTATGCCATATGCAACATTCTACAAAAATTTAGTACTGATATATGACAATACTTAAACAATCATGATACAGTTGCTTGATTTGTATATATTAATACATGATGTAAATACAAGTTATGTACACATGTGTGTAAGTTATAGTCCACTGTGATTTAGATGCAATAGGTGATTTTCCGTTCAACTGCGAGATCTCGCGAGTTGCGTAAAGACGCGCACCGTACGTCTGTCGCAAAGATCGAACGATTTGATTTACAAGTCGAATTTCTTTATTATGTAGCTCACATCGAAAGGCCGATCTTTGACAAGGGAATTTTGCGTTTGAATACCCTTACTTCATCGAATTGACCATCATCAAATCTGTGCAACAAAATACATCGAATCCCACGCGATGCTTGTCGCCACTCCGACGCTATGGCCTTTGTCTGTCCTGTTATTACGTTCCATTTTATGTATAACGCGGGGCCTCGCTGTCAACGGAAAACTATCTATTGTACTCTATACATTGGCAGTGGCGTCAGTGTAAGTTTCTCAGATAAGCAAAATAGAAATAAATCCTACCCATTAATATCAGAATTTGTAATTTATGAAGAAAATTCACAATATCAAGAGAAAAATACGCAAGTACGACACAACTAATATATGCTACAAGCCAATAAGCTGATTAGCGATCCACTCCGTTGCCAATGTAATGGTAGGACATAATCAAAAACAAAATGGAAACTTTATGCACACACTCAAACAACCTAGGATGGGATATGTCGAAGATTTTGACTCGAAGAATTGTGCGAGGATTCGTATCAAATCTTGGATACATTAGGACAACACTTTTTTTCAAATTTGTCCGCCTTTCTAGAGTGCAGGTGTGCCCTGTCTGTCTATCTTGACCAATATTGCTCCCCGCCACAAAAATTACAGAAAAGTTGAAAGCCTTTTCTGGCAAAACAGTTGCCTCAAATTCGAGGCGAAATTCTCAGCAATGACAAAAGATATGGGCCATCATTCATGCTGAGTAGAATGAGGTATTACCGATGTTTTACTCAAGATTTGTTGGCGGAGATGCATTTAGCATGTGTGACCTGCCGGCCAATTTTGAATCAAATCGGCCAAGCCAAATAAATCCCAGAGAAGTTCATAAATGAAGACACACGCAAGTGATTATAAGTGCAATCCTAGCTCAGCGGATTGCCAACAATATATGAACAAATCTTTCTGAACCACCTTGAATATATATGAAATCTGTACATACTAGAAAATCCTAGTCCACATCAAGTCTGAGATGATGTTATCACAGATGGCAATAAGCTCATTATATCTGCCTAAAACCTGCTATTTGTTAAGACAAGTCGTTCTACTAGTTTGGAGGATCATGTACATTTCTGTTCACTGGTCTTGAATTGCGTTTTATGGAGTTTTGTAGTCCGACACAAGCTATGCAATTCACCTACCTCTTCCTTTTAAGATGTCATAAAGAGATTATTGGAGATAATCATTCGTATAAATTATTCATGAAATATTACTTTATGATTTACATTAGTGTTCTAAATATGTCATTACCCATAATTTCTTTTGCTTGAATCAAATTCACTGGCTTCGTACATACTACCTTATTACCCAAGACAGTTGGACATTTGCCACATGTCACAACACTCATTCCCAAGTGCCACAGCTTGAAACAAGTTGTAAAATCTGATATTGGCTGGAACTTTTGTTTATATGGTAATGGACATGGTGAATGGCAAACGAGATGGTCAGAAATTAATAAAAATAATCGCAGGTTTACTCCACCCACCCCACTATGAAGTAAAATGCTGTTTATAAGGCCACTTATGATGGTTCCATGTTTCTTATTGAAAACAATTGTAATTATAAACTTCTATGCTCCCGTGGGGATCCATCATACTAAACAACAGGTGTCACTATTACTAAGAAAATATATATATCTATATCGTGAGTGTGGGCATATGGTGAATGCAAGTGTACAAATTATTTTAAGTCGCACCGTACTAGGTGTCGTGTTTTACCTTGCCCGAATCATCAACGATGGAAGGAAAAGGTATATTAAGGGAACAATTTTTGTCCGGCATTGTCGTCGTCGTCGTTAAAATCTGTTAATGTGTGCACAATAACTTTACTAATTCTATTCCAAACTTTTTTTAAGATTTGGTCACCTTATTCATCAGTCTTTCCTTAGTATGAACGACAAATCAGAAAATCTGTTAAAAAAACATTTTGGCTGTTTCTACTTGACTCATCACTGATGATATACATTCAAAATAGGAATATGCATTGCTGTGTGCTGTTCAACGAAGCAAATAATTTATCTTGTAATAATATCGTTGGTAATATATCTTACAAATTCCATGGGAATACTAGACCGACTCATGGAAAGAGTTGTTGCACAGTCTGATACACATTTGCAAACCTACCAATAAAATCTTTACAGAAAACAGGATGTCAGAAAATCAATATAAGCACTTATATGAATTGGGTACCGAACTTTTTATCAAGATCTGAAACCAATAAAAAACTGTTTAGTCCAAAGTTATCAAATCAAAAACAGTGCAAAGATACATAAAAAGTACGGAGATTGGTGCACATTCAGAATCACGTAATATACGTTGAACTATTATTGAGCAAATGGCTGCACCAAATAATCCTTTTTATGATCCTATCCTATTTATGAAAATTACCTTCAATTTAACCCCGTGCCACGAAGAACCCAACTTTTTGCCATTATCCCGGATTTACAATCATACAAAACACTAACTCTTATGAACGCCGATACTAACAGTGTTTAAACAGGGTATTGTACCCTTGTTTTCAATTTATTGTTTACAAGTCTGGCACAGTACTATTGCAACACTGTGTGTTCAATGTTCTTCACCTTATACTTATAAATAAATATAGAAAATGACGGTCTTAGGTTCTAAACGTACCTATGCGTTCATACGGCGTATACTAATAGCGGTATTTAAAAGAGGTGCTCGAGTTAAGAAACATTTATCGTTACAGTTTTTGTTTATAGCAGAAGTGTACTTTGAGTTCAGTGGCGTTTGGTCAAATACCGTGATTTTGGTTTTGATTGGCAATCACCGGAACAAACAGTCGGGTTACAGTCGTGTAACTTCTACTGTGTGACTGTTGGGAATATGATCATATAACAAAGCGAAAACATATACTTTGATTTCGCATATCAGTGAAAAGTCAGTCAAGTTACAGCTTCAGAATCCCGAAATGTCATGAAAGTCATCTGCATAGTTTTTACAATTACTTTACAAGTTGGGAGAGTTGTCGAAAATGGTAAAAGTAAATGTCAGGAATGGTCAGGAAGGTTGGTTAAAAAAGATAGGAACGTCATATGCAAAGCCAGAAAGATTTTGAAGGCGACAAAGTAATTTTAAAAGTTGCTTTGAAAGGAGGGAAATTATTTAAAATTTTTATTTTAAATAACAGATAACCGCTAACGCTGAGAGGTTTGAGCGAGGTTCTACCAGTCTGAGAGCCTATTTTTTCATTCTTTTTTTTTAAATAATTGATCTGTTGTGTGTTATGTAACCGACCATAACTACACAGCACAACTCATACATGCAGTTACAGTTGCGATGGGGGAAATACAACACGGACTATGCAAACCCAAAGGCTATAGATATGCAGCTAATGTTTGGAATTATATTAACACATTTAATGAATATTCAATACATGGCAAACAAGAAGGGTGTGTGTGTAAAATGTTAAAATGAAATAGTACGTTTTGTTACCATGACAAACATTGCATATATATTAGACCAAAGCCGCCAATACGGCCACAGTACAGCAACATCTGACCAAATCTGTCACTTTCGATTGATAAAATGACGTGAGATCCGCCGAGTACGCGCAAGTACTGGATAATCCTCATTATAATAACAAGGAAGATCATTTAAAAAAATCGTCATCTAATATTATAAAACAAGTCCGCTAACTTCAGCTCAAGAGCAGCTATGGTATTCATCCACATGAAGCGAATTGAAAGATCGTCAATGTTTGTATGAACGTCTTCAAGTTGACCAACATTTAACATGTAACAGCTTTTATTTTCACTATAAGTATATTTACAATCTCCCTAAATAATACAAAATACAAATACATGTCACAAACATTCATATCACCATGATTAATATATTGGTTTACA